AGTGCAGAATATAACGCTCAGAAATTCCATGGAGATGAAGAATTATTGAAAAGTGTAAAATATCACTGAATTATTATGAATGTTGTTGTTCTTGGTGACGATGTTTAATGCATTTGTTCGATGAGTATGTATTCGGTATAAAAGAGACATCGATAAATCACAATAATTGAGAATTAAAATGGAAAATCTAATGGAAATCCAGCGGAGCGCGCACACATGCAATTTTATTTACCAAACTCAAAAGAGTAAAATCTCGTTCCATTCCTTGATATTCCTCGTTCTTGTTCGTTTCGCAGCACGTGAACGAAGATAAAATGAGATTCAATACCCGTTTGAATTATCTATTTAGTCGAATGACTCCATGGGGATGCATTGAGTGGACCGAAAGTGTAAAAAAAGACACCAATATCGTGCTCAAATTGCAATGTCAAATGATTGCGCATTGCATGCTTTTAAAATCATCGAATGATTTGAAATTTGTTTTTATTTTAGCTTCCAAGCATTGCATCGGGTCATGTTATCACAATGTGATCCATAATAACCATAAAATTAGACGGAGAGTAAGCAGTTAGGTAAGCAGCCACGCTCGATGGTTCAACTCGGTATCAATGCGAATACCAGAAGCGGTTGATATATACATTTCGATCAGATGAAGACTATTGTGTGCATTTATGGAGCCTGCAAGCGTGTGTGCACGGTAACGGCGAAGCATTCTTTGAAATAAAAACTGTACGAAACCCGACATTATATTTAGCCAGCTTAATCAGCTCGGGTAGGTAAGGTAAGACGCTGGAATGAAGCGAAAACACATAAAACACTTCCATTGTGTCCATCGCGATAACTTCTGTTGGTTTTACTCCATTTCAGCGCCTGAGCTGGCTGAAAATATCTTAAAATAATGTCTGTACGAAACTCTATAAACATGAGATAGCTGCAGTAATTTTCGCTGTATTTAGAATAAAAACGCTACTTGAACGATTATCATGCTTGCTCACCATCGAGTCGACATGGCATCAACTGAGAAATTCCAACGGAATAAACATACAAATATTTTTTGCCACATTTTTTTATAAACAAAACTTTTTTTCGCATCAAATTCGTCTCAAAAAACTTGTAATTTCGTTTAATGAAATTGAGTATCTCACGAACAAAAAAATGGAATATTTAAATTAACTAGCTTGTGTTCGCATACAAAATTCATAAGATCATTAGCATTACCACTTTACGAGTTGTCGTTAAATTCCTTTGGCACCATACACACTTGACGATTCGCAAACGATCCAAACGTCGAGTTCAAATACCATGTGACAAAAACTTGAGCACACACGCCAATTTGCATTTATTTTCGGTGACGAATCACTTTGTATTGTATACGGAACCAAAAAAAAGAGGTGAGACGTTTCACTTGACCAAAAATAGACGACGGTAAAATGTAAATTTGAAATGGAATTAATGGAGATGAATGATTTGACGCATGTTAAAACCAAAAGAAGATCGAGTGTGTAGTTTTTGGCATAAAAATGTGGTTCAATTTGATTGATTTGGTTATAATGTTACATTATTTTTCATAACCTAATTGTGTAGGCGAAAATCGAACCGCATGTCTTACAGGTTTATCCTGTTTCTTACATTTGGATCGTTCTTACGTAAGCGGAACATTTCAGTTTATCGATAAAATTGAATGGCATTTCGTTTAAAGAAGAAAAAAAACAACGTGTACCCGGAATAAAGTGGCACTCCTCTGAGAAAGAAACAAAAGTGAAATGCACCATAACCAAACCAAAAGTTACGTACACTTTTGCCCATGAATCGTATTGTTAAATGCACCGCTCCGTTTGGATTATCTTACAAAATTGAAGACGATGCTTCTGGGCGCCTTTTTTTTCTCTCTTTCATTCGATAAATGATAAATGCCATTTCTTATTGTTCATTCGGTGGAAAAGTGATTTGTGCACGGAAAATTTCATAATGCAATTCGGAATTTATGCATATTCGTTCAGCAAAAGTGACGAAAATGCCACTTTTTCCTCCTACTGTATAAGTGACTATTTCATGTGATTTACCGTCGCCCCGTCACACAAAATTACTGCCAACGACATAAATATAGTAGATAGAAACAAACGATTGAACAATGAAATGGTTTTTTTCTTTTTCTTAAAAAAAAAAAAGCTCAATTTGTTGTTGTTGCTTGAGTTTGTCTCTCGAGAGAGACTTTCGCATTTGGTTAAAGTAATGTTTTTGAAAGTTCGTTGGCATTTCTGCGAAGCATGTCGAATGTGTGTTATTTTTATAGATAAAGTGATAGAAAAAAAAATAGCAGCCAAAAACTTGATTTTGCCGTTATCGTCGTCTGCTATGCAACTCTTTTTTTTCTTCACCACAATGTTTATGTGTTGAATTAATTCTTGTGTCGTGCATGATGACGCTGAACATGCGAATGTGTAGAAGTAAATATATCATGTAGCGCTTTATTTCCGATAGTTTAAATGCATTTTGTCGCTCCTTTTTCATGTAATTCACTGTAACAATACAGAACTGACTAACCTTTTTTTCGTCTTCTTTCGTCTGTGTATGTTCACTGTTCACCTCGTTGCATTCGTTGTTGAACCAACGTAAGAAAGCGAAAGTCTTTATTCGCGTGTGACAATAGTAATCATCACGAATTGCATGCTTTCTATAATAAAACAAACAAGCCGTTAAAATTACAGTTTAAAACCGATTTACAAAAATGGTCATCTGCAATTTTAGTCTGATATAATCATCGCTTAGTGAAATTTATCGATGTGGACTTGGCAATGATAATTCATTAAGGGTCGCATGTTATTTTTATGAGATGGCGATAAGAACTCAATTAAAAGTGTGTAAAAGTCATTCGTTTCGGTTGATTTACATGTGAAAGTTGAATTTCTCGGTTGTACGCTTGATTTTATGATGTTGATCAACGATGCTGCTGTTATTTGTAAGCCGGAGCATCACTAAATAAAAACTCTTCGTTTCACTTCGAAATTACAACAATTTGAAAGGCGTGCCAACACCATAAAAAAAAAAACCCAAAGATAAATCAGGTGTGTAACATTTTGTCACTTGAAAATGTTAAAGTCTTAACACTTGGCATTTCATTTCAATTGCACTTGGAAATTTGTTTCGTTTATACAACAAAATAGAAAGACACAAAAAAATAAAATAGAATGTGCAAGTGCATACGCTTTGCATGCGCGTATATCAAACCATGCATGCATGTAATTTGGATGCATTGAATTTCATTCAATGTTGGAAAATGGTAGGCAAGACGCAAGTGAATGTAAATTATCCGTCTGTAGTGCACGAGCCGTGTCGGAAAATTGTGCACAGTTTGATGACGATAATAACGACGTTGGATTCGATTTCATTTAATCATGTCACCTGGCACTTTATGTGAGCATTCAGGTGTTTGTCATTACGATTTGCATTCCATAAAGCTGTTTAACTTTTCGGATTATGGCACGTTTTCAATTGGAAAATTTTTTTCGGGGCTAAATTGAATGCAATATGCTCGTTAGAGTACGACGTGATTTGCTCATGATCCCCTTTTGCCAATCAAATGCAAAATAAAGTTTTGAATTTCAATAAAAATCAAGAAATAATGTACAACGGAATTGAATCGATGACCTTCACCTTCGCACGAAATCAAACATAAACGAAATAAAATTGGGAAAGAGATAAAAATGTCACGTACAATTTGGTTTGCATGTATGTGCGATGGAAATTTAATTAAATTGTGTACCAAATGCGATGAAGATTCCCAGCTGTCATTGAACAACTGATTGGATTTGGTGAAACGCTCCAAAGAGCGACGAATTTAAGCAAAGAAGCATTGCAGTATATTGCCAATATGGGTAAAACATAGAAACAAAGAGTCATTTCGAGTTGATGGTTCGTTAATCGCTGGAAATTGTGTGTTTGACACAGAGAGTTAATTAAATCTGATCTTTTAAGTCCGACTTTTTTCACTCTTCTTTTTCTGATTTTTGCTTTGTGTAATTCGGTAATTTGATTCATCAGTTGCGTTGGTAAACGAAGCTTTGCTTGGTAACTGATATAGACAATCGCATGCATAATTTATGTTAAGCCATTCTGAAGCACATCATGACATAATACAAACGAACATTATCGTAACGGGCTGATGAGCATCCAACCTTCTTTCTCACCATTGGTTCCCATCGCGGCAAATGTGACGTTTCGTGACCTTTCAGCCTAAAAGCGATTTTTTTTTTCTTTGAAAAAACTTATCGATTCATGGTTGAATCGAGAGAAAAAAAAACTGAGAACTTAAATCATCTCATATTTCTTCATTAGAGCTCATAATATCGTCATTTTCTATTGAAAACCAAAGCGTTTAAATCAATGTTTTTTGGATGTTTTTTCTTTCACCATGAAAAAAATGTCATTTCTTTTGTAGTAGTTCGGTGAACAAAAAAGAGAAAAGATGAATGCCGACTTTTAAAACAGCCATCAATTCTAATGATGACCATTTTTCTACTCCAACACCTCTGAACAGATTTATCCAATGGAAAATATAATGTTTTGAATCGGTATGAAAACCGGCTTTGTTAATGCGGTGGTTTAATTTTTTCCTCCATCTTGCCCGATATGATTGATACGGAATGAGTTTTTTTTTTCAACTCAAATTCCATTAACGAGTGCACTTAATGCGATTGAAAAGATGAGCTGATGAAACCGATTGATGAAAAGACTGCGTCGAATTCATTGAAAAAAAAAAAAAAAAAAACAAATCTCATCCGTGTTCGTGAGCATATTTATCAATATTTTCATTAGCATGCACTTCGTATAAATTAATACATTTTTAGTTTGAGTATTTGAACAACAGTGACGAGGTTGTGCAAATATTTTATGTTATGTGATATTGTATAATTGCCAAGAACGGCGGTAATTGGCCGTTCATTTACAAAATTCATATTTTTTTCCATTGTGCATAAGTAATCGATATATTTGAAACTTACCAAAACAACGAAAATTTGTCGATGTGATGTGTCAGCAGCTCTTGATGCTCTTCAATAGTTGGCTCCTCAATGTTTCGTCATTGAATCGGAAGCCCACTTGACGAAAAGTGGTGTAATAATGAAATCAAACTGGAACAAATAGACCTGCAACAGATGAAATGAAGAGAAAAAAAAACCGTCATGAGACCAAATGAGAATACAATTCCGTTGGGCAATCAATTTCAATAGCATGTAATAGCGGTAATTGTAATGGTTAGTTGTGGCTTCTGCTTCTAACATTTTCGAGTATTATTTCGGTGAGTGTTTGTTATTTGAATTTGTATGTTTTGTTTTTTTGCATATATATTTATTTTAAACAAGCGTATACATGTTTAAGTGATAATCATTCAGTCAATTCTCACAATAATTTTTTCGACATTGCCCATTGTACACTGAGGTGTTTTTTTTCTCGTTTGTGTACTTGAGGTTGGCGCTCGCCTTTGGACAGCTAATTGTTTAGTTTGGCCAGTGATTGGCAAATTGCAGTGCACGATTTTTATTTCTTTCGTTTGTTGTTATTTTTATTACTCCATGAACACATTGAACGTCGTTATTTCTTTTTCTCTTTTGCAATTATCGAACTTACTCGCACAGTGATATAAAACAACACACAATGGAACAGCTGAAATTAAAAGAAAAATGCCAACATTTCGCGTATTCTTGATGGCTTTCGTAGTTAAGTAATGCATAATGGGGTTTTTGTTCAAACATTTTTTTTCACACAATCACTCTAAAATGGGATTGAAATTGTCGGCGGCAAACGGCAACGATGATGATTACTGTTTTGTTGCCATCGTAACTGCACATATTCAATATAAATTAGTGTGCGATGTCGAGCACATTCAACGAATGGGAAATGAGTGCGCGCTTAACATAATTAACAGCTACCGATCGGAATTGTAACTTACAATTCGTAAGATGTCCCCAATTGAATTGCGAACAAGTGTTTTTAACATTCGATTTTCTGCATGGATAAAAGTCATTTCGCTGCCGAAGAATCGATAAAATGAAATGAACGTAATTTGAAAATGAAAAACTTGAACAAATGAAACAATTCAATTTCATTATAGGATCGCAATGATTGCGGCAATGTTTCCTCGTTTCGCTTCTGAATCTCACAAATCGAAAAGAAGAATTTTATAACATAAATCCCAGTGTGATAAGGAAAATAAATGCTATAATATAATTGGATAATTATCCAATCCAATTTGTCACGGTTTTTAAATACATTCATTTGTCGTCGTCGTGGCCGTCGCCTGAATGGGATAGCCATTACGACATTGATTGAACATGTATCGGCATAATCCATATTTATACCTAGCTACTGCTACTCAATGATAAATTACATAGAACCCATTCTATGTAGCTGTGTGTATCGCTTTGAAGGCATTTCGATCTCTTTTCCCGGCTCAATGCCGACTCATTAATTCGAAATTATCGAAATCGATTGTATGTGTGTGTGTGAGCACGCTCTCGCTCGCGAAATCTCATCTGTTCTAATCGAATGTCTGCACGGCACGAACAACAGTACCAACAATACATAAAGAAGAATTTTATGATAGTTGCCTTTTTTATTATTGTTAATAAAAAAAAACAATGGAAAAAATGGCATCGGAAACATTAATGTTGTAATATTTCAGCACTCACACAACACTCTCTCAAAGCCTCAATCCATAAAATGTTAGTGCAGTTAAGTAAATCGGATCAAAAACGCCCAACAGCGATTCGTTTGATATGTTGAAATTATGAGTCAAATGAAATGCATGAGTTTTTATCTGTCGAACGGAACATTTATGTGGATTGTGTCAATCTATATGTGCAAAGAGGGTAAGTGTCAAATTCGATATTATTTGTGAAATTGTTTGTAGCCACAAATCGAAATTGAGATGTTGAGTTGGGAAGTAACAAAATCCATTTCAGCTGCTACTTGATCCACTCGTACAACAAATACGAGAATAACAAGATGAAGTACCACAACGGCATAACACATTTTGCATCCGTTGATACATTTTTTTCGATAGTTCTGAAATTCCCCTCAAGCGTATTGCCATTCGAAATGACTAGGAAACTAATGCACAGTCGAGGAAAAAAATGCGAAATCAAAATGCAATGCGTTCTGTCAGCACTTAATCGCGACCATAAATCGTTAAGGTCGTATTCTGCGCACATACACACACACACAGCGAGAGAGAGAGAGAGAAAACGCAGACCAAAAGTTGAAAACGGCAGTTAGAAACGAAATATGTGAGTTGAAGTAAATGGTTTGCAGACAAAGCATTTCATTTAACACATTACGGGTTGATTTTTAGCATCACAGGCAATGTGTTCGTTTAATACCCACCTTTCAACTGATTTTCAATTTCAAGATTTTCGGAAAGCCCAATTTTCTCTTTCATTCTTTCTCTCTTTATCCTTTCCTTTCTCTCTGTGTGCATACAATGGTTCAGAGCATAGACAATAAATTTCACTGAAGCCAAACGACTTCGGGTGAATTCGAATTGAGCCTCTGGCCTAAGCACAGCACTATAGTAATGGGAATTTCAATGCGATCTTTTATTATTTTTTTCATCTCGTCTGTGTAATTCCATTTTCATTGGATTTTGCCACCATTTGTTCGCACTTAACCAACATCACTCTTAAGCCTATTATTTATATTTTTTTCGTTTGCTTGTTTACTTTGAATCACGTTTGCATGTGGTTTTTGATTCTATTTTTCGTTTTTATACACTCGAAAAACACAATAGTGTCTGTTTGTTTTTGATACCCTCTAATTCTATAGTGTGAATGAAACATGTACGATCGTAATAGCAGTAGCAATCAATCTCGTTTAGTAGGGGCTATTTTAAGTATCTTCCCTCTTGGATTTTCGCTTTCAAATTACCAATATTTCATTTTCAAATGAGAACTCAACACATGTGGCGTCAACACATACCCGTTTGCATTTATATACAAAATGAAATATATTTCAAAATTAAAATACAGAGAGTGCATTTAAGAGGATTGTATCGATTTTAATGAAGTTCGTTTCAATTTTCAATGGAATTGAAACATCATGAGTCAAATGAATTTTAAAAATAATACCACATTCTCTTGATTTAGAATCTATTTTACGTGAAACGTCCAATTTGCTTTTTCCAAAACCAGTTTATTTTGAACTAGGTGGTCTTTACAAACAAACATAGATGAAATTGTAAGGATTATTATTCTGTCGAAGATTTAATTTACTTGGAAAAACCACTCTATTGGCAAAATACAGAAGAATTGGTTTTTTTTCACCTCCTTCGGTTTCTTCTACGTCTTATTTCATTAGTAAATGAAGAAAGTAAACTTGTAGAGGATAAAGCAATTGCAAGATAAAGAGAGCGAGAGAGGAGGAGATGGGTGGACAGAAAAAGAACATGCTGTTCGAAACAAACATTAAATAAAAAGTTATTGCCATCAAAATACGTATAATGTGTATTATTTTGCAATTGCCATTCTCGGTAGATTGACGGGTATCACGCACCGCTACATTGTTGTATTGCAACCTGAGTCGAAGTGTGTTTGAATGGGAAACAAAAAATAAATATTCATTCCGTATCCAGGTTACCACAACCGCACTCACTTACGAATACGGGAAATTACGACGCAGCGGTTCAAGATTTACCATAAAAATACTGACGGCTAATTTGAAAAAAAAAAATGTCGATCATAGAATGAAGTACGTCTCATTTCTGTGTACAAAATATCACCTTAATCGCCGACATTCAACCGTCATTGTTACACCGGGTGAACGAAATATACAATATCGAAAGCGGATCACACAGGTTTTGTCTGTTATTAATTGGACCGGCTTCAGTCAAATGACGTACAATAATGAAAAACAGTGTTTTCGAAACGAGTTCAAAGCAGAGAAAAAAATCAACAAAGAAGAAATACGGCTTCCTTCGTTTGGTTTTTGATCATAAATAAAAATGAAAATGATTAATCGCTTCTCTTTCGATTCAACTTAACAAAACTGTTAACAAAAGTGGATCGATCCTGTTTTCACTGTAACTTTTAAGAAATAGTTGAATTGCTTAATTTATGGCTGGACATTTAGTCGATCGTTCGTTATAGATTCCAATTTATATTGGATACACACATACATCTTGAGATATTTATCCTGCGTGGAAAATAAAATGCTTTCGAAGATACGATAAATTTCACTATTATGGTAGGTTCGTTAATTCGTTCCACTCCCGACCCGTTTGGTTTGCATTGTTTACCTGCATTTACGAAAGCATGTAATCCCGGCGCAAGTAATAATGGAAAATAAAAACGACGAAGAAAAGAATCATGATATTATTTATCATTCGAATTTTTTCCTTTTGTTCGAGACTTTTTTTATGGAAAGGTATCGAAAAAAAACCACAATTCATTGTATGGATATTACCTCCTTTTCATAGAATAAGGTTGAATAAAAATCATAAATCTGGAAATTTAACATGTGGTTTTTCGTTTACGTCATTGAACACTGCCGGTGCTACACCGTAGAGGGTATTCAATTAAAGCTAGAAAATGATTCTTGTCAAAATACTCTTTAGCTAAAGCATTTAGTCGATCATTGATCGAACATGGTCTTTATATGATTTACATTCACTTTCATTTATTCGACCATTCTTTTTACTTGAATTTAATTACTTGACGACATGCGCCTTTTTTACGATCGTCTCATATGTCCACTGCAATGTGTTAAATGATAATGGCAACTGAAACAATTGTAAAATGTAAATGCATTCGCCATTTTTGGGGTTAAGTAAATGTTTGTATTGTTGCTGAAATGTGTTGAAATGAAACGGCTGCACTTTAATATGACCTAGAGACATTTTTCTTACTTGAATACCATATCAATTGAAACATTTTTTTTGAATTCGAATACGGACCACTGCTGACATTGACTTTTTGCTTATTTATTTGTTTCTACCGCCTTTTTTTGTTATTGTAAACGAAACAATTCTACTTACAATTCAACTTTCATACGAATGTCATTCGAGACGGTGTTTCAACAGCACCGTTCTAAATTTTACACATGAACAATTGTAATACACTTCATGAACCCTTGTCTATCTACTAAGATACTGTGT